TCATCTGCTTCCTTGACATCAAGTTTTCCTTCAGCAATTAACTGTTTGAGGCTACATCCAACAATGTTTAATGGAAGGTTGTGCATCACATCAAAGACTATGTCTCTGATTACATCAAAACCATACAAGCTGTTAAGGCGATGCAGGATGCTTAACCCTGTGTAACCGGTGTCTCTGCTCAATCTTTCACGAACAGTTCGGCGGTCTTCAGCATCAATCTCTTTCATTTTAGCAACTTCTGTCTCAAGTTTCCGACTCTCTGGGGGGAATCTAGCAGCAAAACGGTTTTGTCCATAGTAGTAGGTTGTCCCAGTACCACTTGGGTTAATAGTACCTGTTACATGTACACATGTCCCAGTAAAAAAAAATCCTTAATATAAAAGCTTATTAAATGGCAGTGTGCTATGGTTTTATAACACACTTGAATTTTATCACTCCATTAATGTTTCATTTGTCCACATCTGCAGTTGATCACCTTTGTGTTTAAAAAGATCTAATTTCAGTAATATTAATGTGTGGACATCTAAAGTGTCAGCCAACATTCACGACAATGCCAGTGACTCAACAACCCAAAAAAATATCTCATGACCTGGATAAGTGGTAATCTTTTGAGAATTAACAGATTAATATGTCATAATCTTCCTGCTCACCTTTAATTTTGTCTCTTCTGCATGCTAGTATTCCCCCATTGATAAACTTTCCAACCTCACTTTGGGCTGGATAGTCACCAGTCCAAAGAAGAAGCAAAATGCGTACATTAATATCACTTGAAAGCAGATTCAACTCAGGGAAATTGCCAGCATAGTACACCTTATAACCTGTTGACAGACAATAAAAGGTTGATTGAATGTGAATGTATCAATCTCAGGGCATAGCTATTTTTTCCAGTGAAAGGCTTTTCAATTCAGCGTCATTTACTGAACACAAAAATTCATGTACAGTACTAACACTAAAAAGAATATTTCTAACATTATTTCCACTGAAAATGTTTTTTATAAGATAGTAATAATTATTTAATGCCCGAAGGGGAAGGGGGCAGGGGATAGGGTAAGAGGAGACCTGGAAGTCCTTAAAACAGAAAAGAAAATTATACACACCAGTGTATAAAACTAGAACCAACAACTACAACAATAGCCAAACAAACGCTGTTTCTGCACTATGTAGAGGCTTCTCCTACACGTATGATTGCTTCCAAAATGCACTTTATGTTCTTTTGTTTATAAATTAAAGGAGGGCCTTACCATCAATAAAGATGTTCTCAATCTCAGAGACAAGAGGCTCAAGAAAAGGATCCAATGAGTTGGGTCGTTTTTTGGGCAGCATGTGACTTGGTACAAAGCCAACCACATACACCTCTTCAGTTGCACACCTTTCTTCTTTATACATGTTTGCTATAGAAACCTCTATAGCACCTGCATTGACAACAGAAGTGGAAAGAAACAATGTGTTATGTTTTAATTTTAACTTTTGACCACAAAGTTTTAACTTAAAAATAGTTAAAGTTTGATTTCTAAGGAATTTGTTAAGAGTATGATGTACAGTTTGCACACAAACAATTTGATTAAATAGAGACAACAGGTGCAGAGCTAGAGTTGCAGTGATTATTATCATTGTAAAAATTTTCAGTAAAGTCTATTTATGGACTTAAAACAAGATAGAATATTCAAATGACAAAACAAAGAGTCGTGAGGATTAAATGTGCAGCTCCATATGCACAGTATTGACTACAAATAAGACAGTTAGTAGAAGGGGTTTGATTTGTGTAGCTTCCACTCTTCTTCCAATGTGGCACACACATACAGTAACCACTTTTTAACAAGTCGACACACCACAACATTAAATAATAATTGAAAATTGCATTAGGAAATCCTGGGTCCAGTATTGTTCAAAGTCATAACACTAATCATCAAATAAAAGTCAATCAAAGTTTAATTTATCTTGGATTCAAGGTTTTTTCACTGCATGCTAACGTTTTGTACAGTCAAAACACAGATGGACAAAAAAGTAAAGGAAGAAACCTCACTATAAAGAGTTACAACATTGGAATCAATATTCAAGCTAATCCTGGACTACACATTTAGTTAAACTGCCCTTCAAACAACAAGGCCCTGGAGAGGTACATACTGTTATTTATAGAAAGTAACTTACCACAGCTATGTTGACCAGGTGCTCCAAATGGTTGCCAACCATCCCAGTGCCCTATAAGAGCAATATTTCGGGGTTCACCTCGAACAAACTTTGCTTGATAGTCTATCTTAGTTCCACATTCATCACACTGCAACGTGTACACTCCATCTCTTTCCGGAGATTGCCTGATTTCTTTTTCACTGATAACAATACCACAGCATTCACAACGGCATGGTAACATCCACTCAGACTCTGGGTTCCAAAACCATGACAGTTCATTAAAGCGACTACCATCCCAGACTTCTTTCAACAGAAAATTTGATCCAGTGCCACTTATCCAATTATCTCTGTTCACCCAGTGAGCTAACATTTTCCTGCACATATTAACATCAGAAAACCATGTCCGAATCTTGTCAGACAGGCCAAGATAATAATACTTGATTGACCCTGATCTTCCACAATGTTTGCAGAGGGAAGAAGGTGACTCCATTAAATCCCAATGACATGGGTGACTTCCATCAAGACATATGAAATATTCTTTTGGCCCTCTGTAATCAAATTCTTTTAAAAGCTTCTCAGTCTCTCTCCAGTTCCTTGGCCAATAATTCAAAGCAGAGCGATTGCAGTCATTACGAAAAAATAAATCTTTCGCAAAAGTTAAGACATCCTCAAAGTCATTGCATGAACCGTGCATTTGGTTTACTAACATCAGGGCTTTACATATGACACATACAATTTCTTCTTTCAACTCTGTCTCATCTGAACTTTGTTCTTCTTGTTGCTGGTCTGGAGATGAACACTCTGGTACACCATTGCCATTACTGGATTCCAAGAAGTCATCATCACTGTCACCACCATCAGCACTTGCACAGCTGTCCATAACGTCATTTCCTTCAAAGGACTCCTCTTCTGGTTCTGCCTCAGAGCTGTGCAGGCAAATTTTATCTCATATTAGCAGTTTTAATAAACTTCTACAGGCAAGCAAATTTTTATGAACCAAAAAGAAATAAATATAGGAAAATGTACAAGGAGATGACCAGTGGCCTGAGATAAGGAGGGGACGATCTCAAAAAACTTTTTTCGGCCCTTCAGGTCTCAGTTTGGTCTAAAAATAAGCAGGGGAGGGGGGCAGGCCCCTCCCCCGGATCCGCAACTGATAACAACTAACAGAGAAAACTGCGATTGTTTGTGCGTATTGATCGTTTTCTTGTCAATTAAAAAAGAAAGAAAAGTCAGAGACAAAAGGGTCTTCACTGACCAACAAAATCTCTTACAGAAAAGATCACGTCTTAAGTTTATCTTGTGAGAACAATTCGGTAACCAATAAGCTTTACATAGAGTGTTTTCACGCTCTCTTTTGTTCCAATAGATTTGCATAGATGCTTATAAATGTACGTGAGTAAAAACATTCTACACAAAAGCAAGTTATTTTAAGACGTTATTCAGTGAGTTCTTCGTGCCGGCATGGCTGTGGCTTTAATTTACCCGCCTGTAAAAGCCGGGTTTTCTTCATATAACGGGTAATTTTGTGACAGCTTGCATTGGGCACGGTTCTTTTTGTAAAAGTTGTATAAAATGAGAGAATTGCCATTCCATAAAATCATGAAACAAACACTGAAAGCTTTAGAATGCAATCATGTAGCTTTGCAAACTCACCTTAGAGAGACAACGTTGATGGACTGCAAGGAATTTTGTAACGTCCAGTGTCTATACTCAACTGATGTTGAGACAGGCTTTCCACTACATGATCTGCAGGGGCAATGGACATGAGTGTACGAAAGTTCACTGCAGTGACAACGAACAATTTCGCTTCGATCCCAACTTCTCTTTCTTCCTGCCATTTGCTTTCATACAACTACAGCATGTCTGGAAGTGTTCAAGACTGGGTCGAGTGCTTTGTTACTGCGCGTGAAAGCGAGGCACACTACCCCGTATATCGTACTTCGCGCCAAAACTAAAATAGTGAAGAGGACGAAAGCGTTCGTTGCGGAGAAAAAGGTCGAAAGAAGATGGCCACGGCCGTTAATAACCGAGGGGCATGTACTAAAGCAGAAGATATGAGTGTTTTGGAAGTTTTTGAGTGGATAAAAACTAACTTTAACGAAACAGTCGCCGCCAAATTCAAAGGTAAGCTAAAGTCAAACTCCACTGAGTGAAATACACAAGTGGCGCGAAAAAAGTCAAGCAAATTTTCCGTACTTTTCTTCTTCTAACAGAGCAAAACATCAATGGAAAAGGACTCCCTTTCCTAGCAAATAGAGGCACCAAAGAGCAAATGGAAGCCTGTGGATTGGAGCTTATAGGCGACCAAATGAAATTGTTGGAGGTTCTCGACGCAATGGAGTCGGACATAAGCTTTAAAAACCATCAACCAAAAAAATTGACAAAACCATCAACCAAAAACATCGACAAAGAACTACGCAAGCGAATATACAATGCTAAGTAAGTTTGATTTTTCTTTTACTTTGTAAGTTTACAATTAAGTCATCATCTGAGGTGAGGCTAAAAAAGGAACATCCCAATGTAAATCCTGAGTGGAATTTATGGGGAAAGGATTGGGTATTTGACGAAATCTACATCGTGTTGTTTATTTGCATGCGTGACAAGATGTAAACTAAAATCAAGTTACTTGCATAAAGTTGATGTGATGTTTGAAGTGACCTTAGATATTAACAACACTCGGTGCCTTTCTCTCCGACTGTGAGAGTGAAAATTTATTTTTGTAAACTTGAAGTAGAAATCTTCATCTGTTAGTCAAAACAAAATGTGAACTTAATCTAGCTTTCAACTAGATAACTATTTCTACCTGTATTTTTACAGCTGATGATAAATGCTAAGGAAACAGTTTACGTTGTATCTGCCAGAGAAGGAAGAGGAAATTGACCAAAGATGATCTTTTTTTTTCTAAACAGAAAGAAAGCTGTGAGAGCTGCTGTAATAAAAAAGTGGCCAGGAAATGACCTACCAAATTTCAAGAAAAATCAATCTCAGCTTAAAGTCTTACACGAGTTGGTTGAAGAATTAGAGGAAGATTGCACATATATGACAGTGGGCTTTAACATAGAAGCCATCCGTAAGCACATCTTGGACATTTTAAATGAACGGCGCAGACATGTTAGAAATGGACATGATTATACAAAGGTATGACCATGTTTTTTTTTTGGATCCTGTGTTTGTAGTTATGCACCCATAGGTAAATTACATGGTTTACTTGACAGGTGGATAAGGCTAAGAAGAAGCAATCAGCTCAGGTGGCTTCATGTAAACCAGATGATACACAAACTGAAAATGATGAGTGTACCCAGCCTGAAAACAGTGATGGTGGTGATACTGAAGATGTGCGTTCATCTGATGATAGCCAGTCATGTAGCAGTGCTTCTTCCCCTTCAGCCTCAATACTGCCCTCATCTGAGGATGATGAGAGCAATAAAGGTATTTTTGGACTGTATTTACTATTTGCCAGACTTGAAACAGAGTCCTCATTTCTTGGAAAATAAAGGAATGGACACCCAAAACAGCACAAAAATATTTCAGTGAATGATACTCAACTTCATCGTCTCAATGCCTTCTTTTTCATGTTGCTACAAAATCATGCTCCACACATTTTAAAAATCAAGGGCATAACCTCTTGTATCATTTTTTGCTACTGTCCAAAAAACAAAAAATTGCAACCTTTTTTTTACTCTTTGTTGACTTGCAGTTTCTTAAAAAAAATATACTCAAATAGAGGCCTTATTCACTCACAACTGTTTTTGTTATTGTAAAAAAAATTGACTCCATTTTTCTATTGTTTGTACTGTTATTGATCATAGAAATGATGGCATAAAATATTGAAAACTTTCAAAACCACCGAGTTTTGAACATTTTATGACGTCATTTCTATGATCAATAAGAGAACAGACAATCCCTGTGGTGATATCAATGTTGGAAGCAGTTCCCAAGATATGGTCCCTCTTACTTGGTAGGGTTAAATTAATATTATAGCTTACTATAGGGAGTGGGGTTAACTATAATTATAATAGTGCCAATGATATTATTGTTAACTTTCTTTATCTTTTTCTTTTCTCACAAGGCATTCCTATGGCTTCAGCTAAACTTATAGTGGCATGTGCCTTCAATGAAGTTCGAGTGGTAGACATATCACGTTCACAGTTGCAATCAGCTGCTAAAACATTAAAGGTTCCCATTAAAGAATCTGAATCAAGGTCAAAGGAGGTGTTGATTTTCAATGTTGCACAAGCTCTTGTCAGTAAAGGATTTGTTAAAATACCACCCAAAGAGAAAATTTCAAGAGATGATGTTCAGATCTTGAAGCCTTTTTAACTCACAACCTTGGTGGCCTTCCTGTTCCTGTTATGTACCTTAGAAAAAGCTGTTGGTGTCGTCTCTTTATCTATAAGTCATGAATCTCATCCTTCAATGTACTTAAGACATTCAATGGTACAGAAGAGAAAAATGTGTTAATATTATCACTTTTGGGCCAGCTTTTACTTCTAAAGGCTCATACTGTTAATATTTCTTTTTCCTGCTAAGTCAAATTTGTTCTCATTGTTGTCCTGTCTGAGGATTTTATGTGGTAAGTTAACATGTGCAGGTTTCTTTATATTGTACCAGTTTTTGTAATTACTAAAGATGTCAGCCTATTGTATTGCCAGGTGTTAGGCGGTCAAATCTTGTTCTGTAAATTATTGTCATTTCTGAAGGAAGACATTAAAACATTCATTATTGAAATGATTTAATTTCTAAACATCGTTATTAGCTCTTAGTTTAACAGACTGGCACATATTACTGTAATGCAACCAATGAGCTAATTTACTAATATTGAAGATATATGCCAAGAAGAAAAACCACTGTGATGTGACACCCTTGGTAACGTCACAATAGTAAGAAATCCAAACCCAGGTATGGCTCTAGGAAAACCACTTATGGAAATGGAAACAATTCCATCAATGTTAACAGTTAAACCATGAATGTCATCATAAATAACATTAAGTGGTACTGCTTAAAAACCAATAATGGTTATAAATCAAAACCCAGAAATATTCAAAGAAAACCATTCATGGAAATATACAAAAAAACACAAAAGATTAAAAGAACCATCCATGTTTTCTTAAGAAAAAACACCAATGTGTTTGGTTACAAACTTAAATGGGAATACCTTAAAACCCAAAAATGTTTTCAGGATTAACATTCATGGAAATAGAGGAAAATCCTGTAATGGTACTAGTAGAAACATTAATGTTAAAAGGAAAAAAACATGATGGGATTTGCCTTTTTGCCACTAATGGTATAAGTCAAAATCACAGTAATGGAAAATTTATTGCCATGAATGTTTTCTGTATAAAAAACATTAATGGTTTCAGTTCTGCTTTC